TACTATTAACAGCTATGGGTATGTTTAAATAATGGCAGTGACTGTATTATATAAAAGTTACGCTCACCATGCCGAGGACGGCCGCCGCCTTGCAGGTGGCTGGCACCAGGTACTGCAGGAGGATCTCGTCCTCTGGAGGGTGCGCCCTGCGCAGCTCGGTCAGCGTCTGGTACATCATCTCAAACTGGCTGCGCTCCGTGAACAGGTCTGAGACCACGAGGAGCTGCAGACACCACGTTCGGACAGGAAGGGGAGCCGCTATCAGGAAAGGAAGGAGCGCACCCGGCCCGCCTCCTCCCAGCCCAGCGACACCAGGCTCCGGGCACCCATGCGGGCCGACACGCAAACCCTGGACCTCAAGGCAGGGCACACGCGCGGCGTGGTCGGGCCATCCTCACGGACGCCTGTGCGCTCGCTGCAGTGGGCGGAGCTGCGATAGCCACGACCCGCAGGGAACTTGCCCACAGCGGTCACCACGGACAAGCCCATGTCTGCCCTGCCCCCAAAGCCCCAGGCCTTCCCATGGCGTCGGGTCAGGCTCTCAAAGGCCCAGCAGAGATGCTGTTTCAGAAATAAACGCTCTGCTGGGGATTCTTTGTCTCCCAAACGCTCGGCTGCCGAAGGCTCAGCTCCTCACGGTACATCTAACAGGAACATCAGCCCGCCAGCGTGGCTCAGTGGTTGAGCATCAGCTTCTGGACCCGGAGGTCACAGCTCCATTCCCTGTCAGGGCGCATGCCTGGGGCTGCAGGCAGAGCCGACCCACGATTCTCCCATCATGGATGTGGCCATCTCTCCCTCTAAGCATGTCCTCAGGGAGGATTAATAACAAAAACAAACGACTTCTCAGATTTGATGCCAATCCTGTGAGTACTAGCAGACATAACCCCCATAACAGGCTCTCTGGGGTCCCCACTCATTTGGAATCCTGGGGCCAACAGTTTGAGAACAAAAACTCCAAAATGGTGCTTCTCGGAGGGGGCGTGTGGGCCTGTGAGCCCGGCCACAGGGAGACACTTAAGGACAAGGAGGGGAGCCTCCAGCCTTGGGCAGCGGCGTGATGTCGCCTCGACACTGCCCCTGCCCTCGGAGCACCTGTCCGCCGTGGGTGGACATGCAGAGCTCCTCCTGCACCGGCGGAGAGACCATCCAGGTCCCAGGCCTGAGAGTTCTTCTCAGGCTCCCAGAGACAACACCTGAGTGCGTGCGCATGTGCGTGCGTGTGTGCGCATGTGTGTGCGTGTGTGCACATGTACACGTGCGTACACCCGTATGTGCCTGTGCGCACTAGGGACGGCGAGGTAAACTTACAGATCGCACCACTTCACTGATCAGGATGACGGGGGTCCTTCGGCTGGAACTGGACGGCAGGACCCAGCGGCTGTACAGCTCCAGCAAGAACTGCGAGCATGAGTGGGTGTCCACCCCAGCCCGGTGCTTCCTGGGGGGCACACAGAGGCTCACCCACGGCCCCACCTCCCGACGACTCATACATCCCAAAGGGCTTTAACCAAAGGCGGTGGGAACCTGGAGCTGACTGGAGACGTGGGTGGTGACGGGGGCGCGGGGACGTCGGCCTCCTCCTCCTCCTCCTCGTCCCACTCCTCCTCCCTCAGGGGCGTGATGCTGCTCCCCAGCCACACCGAGTGGATGGACACCTTCAACACAGGCCTGGGTCAGCGCGAGGAGCCTGGCGCCGGCTCCCTGAGCTCAGGGCCAGGGCGCAGGTGTGGCCTGGGGTCCGGCCCCTGAGGGCCCACCCCCCCGGCAGGGCCTGCTCAGA